TTAAATAATAAAAACAATCATAAGTTATAAAATTAAAACTTATTCATATCGCATTTTATCTTGTTTATAACCATTAATAAAATAATCTTACAATAATTGAAAAATCTTTGTTATAATATTAAAAAAAGTATTTTAATTATTATATTATTAGTAATATCTTTATAAATAACTTTATTTTCTTTACCAAACTGGATTTGTATAAGATTATAATATAAAGTTCAAAAAAATAGTTGAATAAATTACAGATATAAGTATCTTAAATTAGATTATATATTTTATAAAAGATTTAAAATTAATTATAAAGATAAAAATAAATTATTAAATATCAAAAATCTTAAAAAATGCTTAGAAATTAGTTATTTACTATGATATTACTATATATAATCAAGGCAGATCTTTGAAAATTTCAAGTAAATATAATAATAATCATTGCTCATAATAGTAATATAATAAAAATTAGTAAAATAATAATTTTATACTAATGAAACTTGATCAAGCAGAATTATATTATAATAATAAGAAGATAATAATCAATAAAAAAATAATAAGCCCAAAGATATATGTTGCACTGTAACAAACCAAATCACTTTATAAAGAATTATTATTCTAAATCAAAATTATTAATATAGAAGATAAGCAAGAAGAATTTTTTCAGTCATATAAAAGAGTAGAATTTACTTATTTAGAAGACAACAAAAAGAGGTTGTTGAAATTTAATAGCTAAGTAAATGACAAATTAGCATGAATATTGCTAAATAGTAATATCTTAAAAAATTTTGTAGATGAGAAATTTATCTAGAAAAATAAAATTAAGTTATAGAAAATAATATTAATAACTATTAAACTCATAAATGACAAGAAAATTATTATTATTGCTATGATTAAGATTAATAAATTGAAGTTAAATGCCTATAAAATATACAAGATAGATGTATAAATATTAAAGTTGCAGAAATATAATCTTATCCTAAATCAATCTTGATTATTTCATATCAATCTAATTATAAATTAGAGAAATAATACTATATCTTTATCTATAAATTAAAAATAATAAAAGTTCAAGTAGATAATAAAATGAAAGTTTAACTTTAGCTGTAATTTAATCTATATCTCAAAATAATAAATTATTAATTTACTAGCAAATGTAAAACTCTTTATAATATATCTTAATAATGCAAAATGATACAGATGCATGCATTTGATTTTATATTCAATCAAAATAACATTTCATATTTATTTAATATATCATATATTTAGGGTCATTTTGAATAGTCTGCGCTTATATAATGTTTTACTGTAAAAATGTGCATATTATATAATAAAAAAATATGCGCTTGCGCAGATAATTTTTAAACCAATTTTAAACACTGGAATTGACCCTTGGACCAGGTCAAATGTTGTTTAAATATCTGTCAACCCTGTTATTGTCATATATAATATTTTGTATTTTTAGGTTTACACAAGCAAAAGTTTGCTATAACGATAACAAATGGATAATTGCTGATGATCTCAATAGAACAGCTTTTTCTGTGGAACTGATTTGATAACAGTCTTAAAAAAACAGATACAATTCGTGCATGCAATCCTGGCATAAAGTATATCCAATTGATTGCACCGATGAAATAAATAAAATAGATATCTAATTTTTTATATTATTGTTGTTTTTATGGGTCGGTCAAATTAAATTATGATGGGTCGAATCAAATTCGGGTTATATAGATGCTACCCGAGTATTTTATATTTAATTTCTATACTCGAGTTGAATTCGAATATGTCCCGATTCGACCCTTTCGGAGCACTAGTATTAGCAGGGAGGAATGGGATAGCATACAAAATTGCATTCAAGAATGCATGAAAGGAAATCATACTAAATATTAATATTTTGTGCACATAATGTTTATGATTATTATAAAAATATAATATTTTTTGCCATTACTTTCCATCAGAACTGTATATAGTCACAAATCTCTATAGTCACTAATATCATGAAATTTTACTATGGTCCCGACTCCTGTAACTATAGAGGGGACGACTGTATCTAGTTGATTTTTCTTGTATCCTCAATTTTAGTGTCAAAATGTTTCCTTTAATGTGTTTAGTCTCCATAAACAGCTACAAAAAATTTTCTTCTTTATAGGTTATCGTCGTTTCTCTTGATAATATTGCAGAAATTTTTAATTTTCATTCGGACTCACCAGAATTGACCATAAATGATTAAGTAGTCCCATTTTAACTACTGTTGAGTTTTGTTAAATTCGACGGCAAAAGTCAGGATTAGTTAGAGTGTGGAGATTTTAATGTTTAATTTTTAGAATAAAATTTATTTTTCGTGACTATCGCTGTTCACTTTGTGAAGCATCAAAAAGTGAAACATAGGAATAGAATTTAGAGGTCTTTACAATCAGGAATCGATTTTAATCGTAGCGGATGTTCATCGCAACTGAGTATAATTTCGTTATAGTTAAAAGAATCACTAATTTACGCTTTTGTTAATTCACATAAATGTTAAATCGAGCTCTGACCTGTACTTTCTTTCGTCTAGACCGCTATTGACAAGACTGCTTTTGAATGTTCTTCAGGCTCAAGTTTTCCTTTATTAATACGAAATGGTGTGCGTTTAAAGTTGACCAATTAAGTATAGAAAATCAAATTTTCCTTTATTTCATAGCTAGATAATTTTAAACATATTCATTCGATCAAAATATTATCAATTTCTAAATTGGAGGATGCGTCGTAATGGATATTATAAATTCTTTAGTTCGACTCAGTCAAATTATATAATAATGCTAGACTACGTGAATGGATTTGTTACAGTGAATGTCACTTGAAGTTCGAAAATATGCTATTATGTCTTGTTCATTCAGCATCTTTTACGCTCCATTGAATAGGAAAAAATTTTACTTTAATCCAAAATATGCTTACCTTGCACAAATTTTATTATTAACCTGTTCTAAGCCATTACTTTTCTCGAATGAACAAAGGAGAATTTTTCTCTCTTTATGCCAATTTGCATTGTATCAATCCTGAAACTTTTCAATTAGTCCACAACTGGAAAATTAAGTATACACAAAAATTTGAAGGCAACGCTGGGCATAGCTTTATTTGGATGATAATGATGATGTCATTTGTTGAGATTAGATACTTTATAATTGATTGTTGTCTCAAACCACAAATACGGCCAGCACTTTCCAACTTGACCTGTAGATCGAGAAAAGCTGAACATGATTTACCACAGAATCTCAGGAAAGCAAAAAGTATTGACGAAACTACACCAAAGCAAAAACACGTTCGAAGCAAGTTTTAATTATTTTTTCCTGACATCTTTGTCTCAAAATAACGCACATGCGCGTACTCGAAATAGCTCGCAAATACTCAAAACAGCGCGCAGATGGGTGTTCTATGAATTTCAAAATTCCTTGTTAGAAAGTGATTGAACTTTTTTGGCTAGTTGTCTGTAGAAATCTTTCTAAAACGATAAATGAAAAATAAATTTACAACTTTAATGTTTGAGGATTTTTAAATTATCTGCAGTGATAATAAGGATATTATTAGATATTCTATGGTGAAAACAGTCTAAAGACATCAAATATTTAATTAATATTTTAAATTGTAAAGTAATTTTATTTTATATGTATAAATATTAAAATAAATGTTATTAAATAGCCTTTGACATGCGCTACAGTTCTGGCGGAAAGTAATGGCGGTTGGTTTTTATTGAAAATAAAGCAAAAACTAATAATTACCCTCCAAAAAAATTATATTTTTATTATAAATATAATCAAACTATTATATATACAAAATATTAATATTTTGTGTGATTTCCTTCCATAGCAATGCATTCTTGAATGCGATTTTGCATGCTATGGATACTATTAAGTAGCATCACATTCGGAAGATTTTCCCATTCCTCCTTCACTAATACAATGAAGATCTCTTGTAACACACTCTGCTTTTGTGCCACCATTCCTTTAACTCTTTTCTCCATATTTTGTTTAAGAACTGCCCAAATATTCTCGATAGGATTGAGATCTGGACTATAGGATGGCCATGGCAAAACGCAATTTGGAAGTCATGTTTCAAGATCATTTCGGACGTCATTTGAGGTGTGCTTGGGATCATTATCCTGTTGAAAGATCCACTGCCAACATTCAAATATATGAGTTGCATTTTCATATAAGTGATCATTGAGGATTTGACGATAAAGATGATGGTCCATATTTTGTGTAAAGATATACATGCCTACTTTTCCGCGTACACAAATTGCACCCCACACATGAACTTTAAATGAGTGTTTTGTCATTGGTGCAGTTGGTTTACCAGAACAAGACCATACACGATAGGTATTTCAGGATAACTGCAAAGTTATTTCATTAGAGAATATGACCTTATTCCAATTATAATTGACGTGGTCATGTGACTATTGAAGTTGATTTTCTTTTGCACGTTGGATAAGGAGTGGAATACGTCTCGGCAATATCGAAATATAACTAAGCCTAAAAAGCTTGTCACGAACAGTTTGGTCACTGATTTCAAAGCCTGGGTGAGTTTCTTCAAGCTGTGCTTTTATTTTGGCTGAAGTAGTGAAGCAATTTGATTCTAAGATTTTTCTGATTTGGTAACATTTTTTTGGTGTTGTTTTACACGAACAACCAGGATGATGGATTGCTGGAATATTGCCATTTTTATGAAGAGAAGACATATATCATTCAACAGAATGAAGAGGAACTCCAGATTTATTAGCTATTTCGGTGGTATTATGGTATTTTTTGCACCAAAAGTACTTAACAACTTCACAGTTCAATTTTATAGTACTACATGTCATTTGTGGGGAAAAATAATGTGATTCAGTAAATATTTTGATAATCGAGTAAAAATAAAAAATATAATACATTACCTTATTAATCAATGTTTTCATCAGGGGTTTGATCCAATTTCGGCAGAGACCTACACTGCATAAAATATGCATGAAAGTGTCACCACCATTACTTTCTGCCAGAACTGTATAACATTACATATTTATTTTGTTGTTGTTTTATAAAAATTATTTGTAGTTAGATATTTTTTAATGTCAATTTTAATAGTAATAGTAATAGTAATAGTAATAATCAAATTTTCAGCGCCTGGTATATCACGTGCATTATTTTTGATTGGCTAAATTTCAACATGAAAAATTACATTATTATTTTTTGTACAAATTTATTATTGCATAAATTAAATTTAGCATAGCACATGATACCTTATTTGGAAATAATAATTCGATTTTAGCATCTTATTTGGAAATGATAATCCTTCAAAAATTCAGCGGTGGCGCAGTATTTGATGCGACTAAACTTTTGCACCATAATTGATTTATGATTTATTTCTTGCGAATTGTAGTGGTAAAAACTTTATTTATATATTTTTTTATAAAGTAATTTGGAAGAAATTTTTACTGTTAGAAAAAAAGTAAAGAAATTTTCCTTATTTTCCTTAACCTATTATATATAAACATTTTTTATTAATTTTTGAATGCATTCACAATTGATTCGGTAGTATTCTATTAATGAACACACATACGGACTGTTAAGATTGCGAACTTAATTGAAATTTTACTATTGCTATTACATTAAAGGTATTAATAATGGATAAGTCAGAGCTACGATTTATATGATAACAAAATTTAGTTTATAAATTTTATGACCGCTATGCAAACCCCCGAACTTATTTATGAACTTTCATTATATATTTGCCAAATATCAGAGCAAACGAGCACGTTTTCCTCGTCTAAATCGTCGAATCTGGCTTAATTAACAAATCTATTAAAAATTTAAACAAATAATTCTCACATAGTGCCATTTTTTAAAATTTACGAGCTGTTAGAAAGATGTGTTTTAATAATGATGTTGAAATTTCGGAAGCAAATTAGACATACAGTATCTATCAATATCAGAACGACTGGGCAATTGTCCGATATTTCGCAATTTAATCCATGCAATATTTAAAAGTCAACAGGTTGAAAGATGCTTTTCTCCAGTGAATCTATCATATGAAATATAAAGATTTTATTCAACGAACTCAAAAGTGCAACAGGTGTGTTTTTTTCTAAACTTAATCGTTATTGTTTCTCCTGATGAATTTATTTATAAAACAGCTATTGCTTCTAAATATTACTAAATTTTGACTATGGGTCTGTTATAACAACTCGACATCCAAAAATCTCCCAACACCCGATGATTACAAAATTAAGCGGCATATTGTCAGCCCTACACTCGATATTATGTAATAAAACATTAACGCTAACATATATTGCTAAGGTTTATATAGTTAGAGATACGGCCGATGGAAACCTGTAGTCTGGGGGCTGACAACAATAAGACTCGGACGGGTCGACCAGAAAATTTCTATAAATGAACTTTTTGAATATTTAGATTAGTATATGACAGAATTTGAAATTAATCGGATATTTCACATTTCCGAAACCCTAGATATCGTCGTAACTATTATGGCCGGTAACGGTCGAAATCCCGAACGTTCATAAGACCGAATGAATCACATCCGAATCACGAAACCCCGAATGAACGACATTCCGAATGTAAGAAATTCCGAAAATATAGTACATGCCAAAAAGCATGAAATACTAAAATTATCACGGGCGGGATGTCGTTTGTTCGGGATGTCATTCATTCGAGATTTCGATCTTTCGGAATATCGTTCATTCGGGTTTCGCGATTCGGGATGTCATTCTTTCGGGATTTTGAGGAATGCCGTTCTTTCTGGATTTCGACCTTTCGGGATGTTGCTCATTCGGGATTTCGATCTTTCGGGCTTTCGATCTCATGATTCGGGATTTCGTACCAAACCCATTATGGCTTATGTCGTAGTTGATTACGCCATATCTCTGTTCAAGACCGAAGTTTACGATACTAGTAATTTCTAATTATTATTCAAACCAAAAACTTTTATTCGTTATAATGTTGCATGCGTTGGAAAATAACCGTTCGGATAGTACTGAAGTTGCCGGGAAATCGAAATAATTTCAAGTCAATGCTGTTAAATTCGGATATTGTTTTTGATGCGCACTCCACCACGTGAAAGGATTGTGAATCTTGTAAACTGAGTTATTAATACACTACAGCTAACTCTTTCTAAATTCACATTTCATAAATGCACTCTCTTTAGATGCATATTCTAGTTCAGTCCCAAGCTTATATGACCCTTATAAAATTTACTCTCCTAAATGCACATTCTCTTTAAATGCATATTTTGACAAATTGGTTCTATGTTCCCAAGAGGTATGCATTTAGGAAAAGTTGACTGTATTATTGATAATAAAGATCTTATGCTGCAAAATTTATTTTATGTTGATCAGTCCAGTTGACAGAGACATGTCCAGTAAAAAACTGCATCTGGTAAATTCAGGCAAAAATCCAGTTTTTTATTCAAGCAAAAATCTGGCAAACTTCAGGTAAAAAAAAATGGATTTTTTCTGGCAAACATACTTTTTTTTATATTAAAATAGATTTAGCAAACATCAGGTTTTATTAATCTTTTTCCAGAAGTTAACCTGAAGTTTGCCAGATTTCTATCTGAAAATCGGTAGATTGTTAGGTTTTCATATCTGGAATATAAACAGAACTTAATAGAAGTTGACCAGTTTTTTGTCTGAATTAGTCAGATTATAATCTTTCATATCTGGATTATAGATAAAATTTAAATGTAAATTGGTTAGTTTTTTATAGGAATTAAACCAATTATTTTATTATTATTTATACAGAACTCAAATACATATTTCACGGTTTTTTAAATGATTGTTAAGTGGAATTTATCGAAAACACAGCAAAGTTTTCTACATGAAATTAAAAAATAATTATATAATAAATTCACAATAATTCTTCAAAAACTTAATCAAATTGGCTGAAAACTGGTAAATAACTGCTTTATTACCTGACAAACGATTTTACTTAGTCTCTCAATGGACAGAAGTTATTGAAATTGTGTCAGGAATTACTTTTATAAACAAAAGAAATTAAAAAACATTCAAGTGCTGAAGATCAATTATGATATTTTTTATTTCTTTTTATTCGTTATAACCGAATTTTGATTGGTCAATATAATTAATGTAAAATTCTATTTCCTAATGTCTGCTAATAATTGGATTTTGGCCGGAATTTAATAAATTCAACAGAAAACCAGGTTTTAGCCGGTTCAGGGATAGGTCGATCCTCAACACGCCCGATGGGACGAGCCAGCCCGAATCACTAACTATAGTTTGGCACGTTCATTTATAAAGGGGGGGGGGGGGGGGACCAAATTAGATCAATTTGTAACGGAAAAATTCAAAACGTAATTTTCGAAAATAGCTTTTACGTGTATCTCGAAATTTTGCTTATGAAAATCACTTTCTATGTTCTAACAAAAAACGTTCCTTGTGAAATTTTACCATTAAACTTCGCGTGAAATGTATCCTTAACTCCAAACCCACCCGTAATTAATATTTCATATCTTGCGATTTGATTGGTTTACCACTTAAAATAACCACGTGGCCCGAAAAAGCGGGTGCCATCCAATATCCCGAAACCAACATCCCGACGATCCAATCTCCCGAAATTCAAACCTAATTCTTCCAACTTTCCCGAAAAACTAGTTCAATTTCTGGTTTATGTCTGGAAATTGTGTTTGGCGGGAAGTTAGGTCGACAACGGTCGAAATCCCTAACGTTCATAAGTCCCACATCCCGAGTAACCAAATCCCGAAAGATTGAAACCCAAATGAACGAAATCCCGAGTTAATGATATCCCGTGATAATTTTAGTATTTCATGCATTTTAGGATACATGTACTCGTTCTTCCAGGATGTCGTTCATTCGGGATTTCGATCTTTCGGGATTTGTTAGTCGAGATGCCGTTCATTCGGGATTTCGATCTTTTGGGATGTCATTCGAGATTTCGAACTTTCGGGCTTATGAACGTTCGGCATTTCGTACCAGACCTAATATCGATATTAAAATAAAAATTCCAATCAACATCCTAATGACTTTTCTCTCACTACTCTCTGGCTCTCCTCCTGGCTTATTGATTATGTTTGGCGAGCTTCTGCTAGACTTAACCTCAATATCGAAGAATCTGAAACTCAAATCATAAAAGCAGCTCCACACATTCTCCTTAGAGATGCGAAAATTCACCTAGATAGTTCCCGAAATAATAAATTTACCAAACAAATAGACCTACTATGTAAATCACTTGTATCGTAACTTTTTATCACGCATTTATTCAATAAACGGGTTCTTGCTTCACCCTCCCTTTTTGGAAAAAAAAAAAAAAAAAAAAAAAATAAAAATTCCCGAAATTCAGAAACATATCAAGATGTTGGGTATGCCGAACCCAATTAGTGCTCCGACGGAGTCGAATCGGGTCGGGTTGGAACATACTGTAATTGTGTATAAAAATCAAATATAAAAATACTGGATTAGCATTTATATAATCCGAATTTGACTTGACCCGATTTTAGTTTAATCCGAACAACTCGAATTTTGCTTAAAAATAATAATTTAAATGAATACATATATCGTGCAGTGTAATCAATTAGATATATTATCTTTTTATTTCCATACTTTGTGCTCACCAAGATTTCAACACATTAACAATTATCCATTTGGTAGCAAACTTCGAACTGCTTGTGGAATTTAAAATGCAAAATATTATAGTAATAATAATAACAATAAATTATCACGAAGTTAATTTTTAATTTACATAAAATTCATACTTTAGATAGGAATTTTGTATAAAATCCGGTAACGTTCAAAAATCCCGAAGAACACAATCTCGAACTTTCATAAGCCTGACAAACAAAAAAAAGGCATTCCGAAAGATCAAAATCCCAATGCACGTCAATTAAATAATCGTAATACCGAATGTTCGTAATCCCAAAAGCTCGAAATCCCAAATGCACGAAATCCCGAAATCGTAATAATTTGGTATTCCATGCTATGATTTCGTGCATCCGGGATTTCTTCATCCGGGATGCCGTTCATTTAGGATTTCGTTCGTTCGGAATTTCGATCCTTCGGGATGGCGTTCTTTGGGATTTCTTTTGTCGGGCTTATGAACGTTCTGAATTGTGTTCTTCGAGATTTCCCACCCATAAAACCGTCTAATATATTTTGATCCGAATCTTTTGACTTAAATTTGGCTGTTGATGCTATAGATGGCGCCAAAGATTATAGTATTGGAATCCCAATTTTGTGAAGCCTAGAATTTTAAGATATTATTAAGTAATAATATACATTATTAACTTTACTTACGGAGAGTTTTGCATTTTTATGTTCCGACGGAAGATCTTCAAAAACCCGTTAGTAAAAACTCCATTACGCAAGTTACGCGAAGCTTTTCGTTTTTAAGAATTATATTACCAGAATTGGTAGTTTCACTCATTATTTAGCATTATAAAGTTGAAAATCAAAATCAAATAGCGTAAAACGGTACACGCATATTCGTAAAATTTAAGTCACCGATTATCCAAACGATCACCGTTCGAGCAAAGGCATGATCTTGGCGTGATGTTGGGCTTCGAGTGTCAGGATGTTGAGTATCCATAAGATGAATTATTTCGGAAAATCGAACCGAAAAAACTGTTTAAAAACGAATAAATCTTTCTTAAATAAGGTTCGGCTCCAAGTTAAGTTGAATCATGCTCATGACATCAAAATTCTTTTAGCAAGTAGCAATATAAAGTTAAAAAAAGAGAATACATCATTTCTCGAATTTGATACGTAAATTCCATACATTAATATTTTTGTTTTATGTCTCAAAAATATATATAGTTGCACCCTCCTCAAGCGCACACCCTTGGGACTAGATACATATGCGTGCATTTAGAGAAATTGTGCATCTATACAGACAATAATTTTACAAGTGTTATTAAAGGTTGGGACCGAGATATAGGGTACATATAGAGAAGATTTGAATTTGGAGTGTGCATTTAGAGGGATGCGCTTGTAGAATCTTGACATATAATTTAATAAATAATTCTCTCGTTATGTGTATATTAATTAATAAATACATGCATTTCTTTTTTATCGCTGCTAGGAATCTTAACCCGTTTTTTTTTTTACAATTATTAACATCGTTCACTATCTTGAGTAAAAAGACGTCACTAATAATAAGCCATACATATTACTAAAAATGTCCATTCCTATATTTATGATTACAAAATTCTAAATTTGAAAATCAGCCCACGATGTTCATCGAATTTATCAATATCAAGTTTTTCATACACTGCATGTATAAAGAAAAACTGGTTGTGGATGTGTTTCAGATTTATAATCTCAAAAAGTGACGGTATTTTTTGCGCTTTTTCCGCAATTTTTTGTTAGCAACACGCAAAAGAAATAAGGCATTTTTTTTTTAGAGCACAAGGTACTTTGTGTGAATAAATTTTTAAAACTGATATATTTAGAACAGTTTTTAAACGACGCAGGAATGTAAGTTTTAGTAATTATAATTAGTCACTCAACAATTGATAAATACAAATTTATTGTAAAAAGAAATACAACAATTTTCAGTTACAACATTATATTAATGACGTTTCTTTAATATTAATTTTACATTTCATTTTTGAATGTTCATACATTAGCGCGTGATTTCCTTTTTTAGACATTTATAATTATTCTCAAACACGGAGAATATTAAAAAAAAAATGAAAATTATCTGGGCAAACTCAAATTCATATGTTAAGCCTTTGTGATGAACTCAAAGTTTGCTATTTCGAATATTAAAGGTGAATACGTAGTCTAAAGATAATAGTAAACGGCGAAAGTAAAACATGATTGTTTGTTTTAATAGTTACTTTTAATTCATCAGCTAATATTTTTATCCCATCCCAAGTTATTATTATTCATTCAAAGAAATCTAACATATTGCATATGCAGTCATACCTCTATATTAGTCACATCACATTACGGATTTCTTGGCTTTGACTCACATCCGTCATACTATCAGTTTCTTGATCTCTATATAAATTCAATTTTCAATTGAGTTGCGGTCCATATCCTGATAAATAAAGTTACTTGCGGCGTTACAAAATTCATGTGAAACTCTAATTTTACATGCGAAATTCGCATATGCATATAAGCTTTTAATTGCGGAAATTTAAAATCGTTTGCAAGCCTCAAGTCAATTTTAGACACTGCTCTAGCGATTCGGGCTAGATGATTTAGGAACTTAGGACACCGGCTAGATTATAAGGCGAAGTTTTCTCTTATGTCAATAACTAATAGAATTTACAATTATCAAATTATATAAAAGTTAAAAAAAGAACGATAAAAATAACCTAAATCGTACTATTTACGTCACTCATGCAATGCAATGTACGATGATGTTAAATATGGTACATGTACACTAATTATGCATGTACATGTACATGTACATGTACCAATTTTTCGGAAATTACATTTTTACTATGATAATTGGGCCAAAAGGTGATTCTAAATAAAAGTTATCAAATGAGATAACCATTAAGCATCAAAAATATTATTTAGTTGTGATATTATTTTTAGCAAATTAATGCGATTCTTCTCAGTTCGATACTTAACTTCATCAAGAATTGAAATTAAGTTATCTTTTATTATTAAAAAAAATGCGTTTTCGCAATAACATTTGAATATAATAGTTGGTCTTACCTAATATGACAATAATGTAATATTCAGAAAATGACGCCTTGTAACACAAAAACTTGAACTTTTCCATGGAGAAATAAATTATAACCATTATGTTTCTAAATTGGATCATTACATTTAAGTATCCATAAAAAGTCTTTTTTCTTTGTTATTTAAAAACAACATAATATTTGTGAAACGTAATTATACAAAAAAAATCGAATTGATTGACTTAATTAAAACCCACGTTATTTTAATGGGTGTAACAAACAAACAATTTCCAATGGTGACTGGCCAAATTACATAATAGAACCAATCCATTCTCTACCTTCACAAGATGCTTCATTGTTTTAAACAGAATATACAGTAAAGTATAAATATACCTCATATTCGGAATCCATTCTTAAAACTCTACGACCGCGAATTTTTATATACAATTTTCCTTAAATCTTGTATTATTCTCTGTAGAAGCTAACATTTATCATTTTGTGCAATGAAAATATTTTCTTGTCCTGAGGCATGACTAATAATCTGTTCAATGATAGTTATCTGACCTATTATGGGAAAACATAGACAAATTTAGAAAAGGTATATGATATTCAAAGATAGAGATATTACATCATACTATAAGCAAATCCTTTATTTACAATTAGGTTAGTTCATTTGTAAAATTATTTTTTAAAATATATTTACTTCTTATTTGATTTAAACTTTAATTTAATTAATTCAAGTACTAAAAGAGAAAATGACTTGATATAATAGCTCATAATAAACTTTTTGTGTTCTATTAAACTGCAAATTGTATAAATACTACAGTTTTCTGGTATTTCGAAATTTGGTGTGTTAAAATTCTCGTTATTATTTATCTTTTTTCTAATAAAATATCTCAAAAATGAATATAAATTCTACAAATCCTGTCTCTCGTAAAATTAAGATACCCTTCCCCCCCGAAATTACTTCATCGGATCTGATTGAAAAATCAATCACCAAATTTAAGTTTTCTGGAAAAACCAGTCGTGTACCAAATTCATTTATATGTTATAGAATGAATTTCTGTAAATTTCTTCAATCTTTAGATTACCCTGTTATCACACAACCACAACTTTCGACAATGATCAAAGAATCTTGGTTAGAAGAACCTGAATATGTACGAATGGAATATCAAAGAATTTCATCGGAGGCTAGCAATCTTTATAAACAAATGTGTATTGATCATAAATTATTCATGCAAGAACAAAAAAATAAGTTAAAAAATGTTTCGGACAGTTCTCCAACTATAATAAGCACGGATAATAGTTCTGGTTCAAGCTCGTCTAGTTCTTCTTCCGAAACTAGAAATCTCGACAACTTATTTCCAACTTTTCATACACAAACATTTGCTGAAAGTGAATCATTCCCGTATTCTCCTTCAAACATTTACGTTCCGAATGAGGAAGTTTATTCTCAAAAGCTTTTACAAAGCATTCCAAACAACACTCAATCAAATGTACCATCTATGACTAGATTCGTTGATCCAAGCTTGCTAATTTACAATCCGAATGCTTCCAATAACTCTCCATCTTTATCAAGTTCATGCGAAGAATGCCATGAAAAAATTGATGCTTTAACTCGACGTGTAGATGATTTAGAGAAAAAATTGACCGAACTCACAAATATATTTGATCAAAACTAAAGTTAATTCCCCAATTAGATAGATTTATTTTGACATTATATTAATGATTATGTAGGATTTATCGAAAATATTGTATGTTATATTATCATCGACGTTAAATAACTCTGAAAAATTAAGATAAATATATGTTTTTGCTTATATGATTCTGGTTGATATATTCAAAGTTTTATAAAAATTATCACAAAAAAACTATCTAAATATGATTCATGATTTGAGATATTACAAATTGATAATCTTGTTATTTTCATATCGATATTTAGACTTACGCACACAATTTTTATAAATATTATTATTGTTAGTTTATTCCTATTTTAAGTATAATATGTTTTTTCTATGTTTCAATTTTGTATGATTCAAATTTTTAAATTTTTATGCACATAAATATATGATTTATATGATTTTTCACATGAATTAAAGAAATATATTTTTGACAATTAAATTGACAATTGTGCCTTTATAATTTTTGCAAGTATAATTGCAATCTTTCAAGAAAGGTTTATTTTAACTGATGGCGCTGTATTTCAAAAATTCATTATTTGTGAAATTCAGTTGCTGCATTATTTCTCATACAACTTCTGAGAATTCTGATAGATAAGCCATTTATTCTAGCTTATTAATCACAGTGTATATTCAGAGATCATACTTTAAGCACCATTTTCCACATTTTAATTCAATTCCTGTAATGATTCCTTTAATATTTCAAATTCCAATCCAGCTTTTGACATTGATGCTACTATAAAAATCAATTCATAGCGACATCCGTTGCTGACATTTCAGAAACCATCTGTTTTCAACCAGTATATAATAAAATCCTTGGACTGTAAGTATATTGAAACGCCTGTTGAAATATCTTATAAAGGTGATTTAAAGAATTATTTTTTTCGTTATGCTCTGTCTGCTATTGTAACATAGCCTTCATTGTGTCTGTGATTTTCTATGATGATGTAACGGTAATACAATGCAACCTTTTTATAGACCATAAATTTATAATTTTAAATTTTTTGTCAATAATTTACAGATTTGTGTTGGTAAACGTTGCGCAGGTCAGAAATAGAATCATTCTGCGCAGTTAGTAGTGTCACGGTAACTAATAAAAGCCCGAGATTTAGCGGCAATCCGACTTGTGCAAATAATCACTGAATATTACGAGACGTTGATACACCGTAGCATGGAATTGGACTACGTCATCACGGGCTCGGATCTTATGCTTAGTGCAATTAGCATGCAACCGGACGCAGCGAAGCCATAATTGATGCATCTGGGCGGATGGTCTGATAAAGAGTACACCAATAAATCCCGAATATGAAGGTGTACCAATAGGGCGCCTGACCAATGAATCAAAACAAAATAATTCATTAGACTTTGGCGTCGCGATAAGAGTGGGATCGTGACGAGAAAAGTGGGAGGAAATTCAATTAAATAGAGAAGACATTATAGTAGAAGAAAATTTAACTTAGTTCCGTAGAACTATAATTGTAATGAATTTTCATTAAAAATGAATAAAGATTATCATTACTCCTACTTAATATACATTATTGAATATTATTGATCTGTCCCAAGTCCTCTATTAAAAAAGAAGTATATCCTGAGACTACGCAAGAAATAACAAAACTGCAATACTACAATCAACGAATTACCTTCTTAGGTGGAAATTAATGACACCACTATTGAAGAAAAAGTCAATCGGGCAACTCGACAAGAGATCGGTAGCAATTGACGTAATAATGAATTAGTTAATGGAAAATGCGGAAAGATAATCCCATGATTGTACATTCTCATGGTTTACTCAGTAGATTCTCGTATCCAATCCACTGGGTAATAATGTAATTCATACATTTCATTGGTTTTTTATCAATGGACGCATTTATTAACCGTCAAGAAGCTAAGTCAACTCGAAAAGGAAAAGATATCATGCCAGTGGCTGGTTCCTCGACAATACTTACTGCTTCAAAAAAGAAAGCATATATCTTGCCAGCTAAAAAGAAGAAAAAAACCACAAATAAAATTTCCAACAAAGACATTAATCAGAAACACGAATGAAATGATTGGAATTCAGAGTGGAAAAAAATGTATCCATGGCTTGAAAGACGTGTTATTGAAAAAATTCCTCTGATGTTTTGCATATGGTGTGAGAAATACAATTCAACCACGAATAATGTGTTTGTTACAGGTTGCAATACCTTTTGAAAAGAATATCTTGACCAACATTTAAAGATCATGACTACAAGAATGCTGTCAGCAATCTAGGTAAATGATTATCAGATCAAAATGATCTTTTTACCAGATTTTCGCTCCAAGCTGACAAGGACAAATTACAAATTATTTCAAGAATGCGATGCATTTACTTGTGTGCCAAAAAACATCTACCAATATCAGTATTTCCCAATATTACTGAATTAATTGAAATCCACCTTAAAAAATCTTGATGAGCTAGTTTATGAACAACACTCGCATCACCACATATTGGATCTCGTAAAAAAAAATATATCAGATTCTGAAATTTTTGAGTCTTCTACAAATTATTCAACCTATACTGATCCTGTTTCAGATACTGACTTTCTACACGCTATTGCAACTGTAATAGAAGAGGCCGTTTTTGATGAATTAAGAAAATCTTCGGCATGGAGTCTTCTAATTGACGAAAGTAACAACATTACACATGACAAAAATTGTGCAATTGTCAGTAAATATCTTGTACAAAATCAACCAGTTTTACGATTTCTTAGATTAATTGAATTGAAAGAAACGAATGTAGCGGCAATTATGCAAAATTTAAATAATTTTTTCTTGGCCAAATGCTTGATATAACAAAATTGTTACATTTCGGAAGTGATGGTGATAGTACAATGATAGGCATTCATAATAGTGTATCTACACAATTAAAAAAATTAAATCCCTTTATGCGCAATTAATTTACAAACACAGTACATCAATTTAATAATGATGAACTGGGAATTGGCAATTCTTCTACTCGGTGGTTATCTTTATCAAATGCAGTATCCAATTTACATCAAATTAATTTTTCAATAATTAATGCACTTCAAGATGATGCAAATAATGAATTAACTATTCGGTCTTGTAAACATGCACAAACTCTTCTTGATCAATTGGATGCTAATTTTATTTTAGCTACAAAGTTTTGGCAGATATTCTTTTGACTATATCAGGTTTGTGCAAATTTTTCAATCTGACTACGTGGCACTCTCTGATGTATATCAAGAACTTAACAAAGCAATTGATTCAATAACTGCCGAATTTATTGGTTATCCAGAAGTCAATATATTACCAACACTTGGTTGTTATCTTCGTGAATATCTTGAAGAAAATTCTATTATTACAATACCAAATTTTGGTAAAGAATTTGCACAAGAAATGGTAATTAATCTTTGCCATTGGTTTCCAGATACTAATCTATATAATGCTATGCGAATTTTTGATTTTAATCAATTTCCAAAAACTATTCAAGAAATTGGAACATTTGGTGAAAATGAAATTAAATATTTGGGTGATTATTATGGAATTAATCATATAGAAAATGGAAAAATATTTGGTTCTATTATTAATAAAATAGAACTAATTAGAGAGAATGGAGGGTAGCAAAGTTTATTTTTCGTAATTATACATCTTTTGTTTTATTGAAGGATGGAAATTATATTTCGAACAACACAATTTATTACTCAATATCCTAATTTAACCCAAATTATTCATCTTTCCTTAATTATTCCTCTTTCTAATGGTAATGTTGAACATATTATTTCACAACAAAATATGATTAAAACAAAACTTAGAAATCAAATGCAACTTAATACTCTTAATTTCATTTAATGATAGTTATGAATGGTCCTCTTTTAGAAAATTTTGATTTTGAAAAAGCCTATAATATTTGGAAACGCCAACCTAGAAAAAAATAAACTTTTTTTTTACTTTTAATTATTTTTACTAAAAATTTTTTGATATGCGCATACTAAAAATAATTTAAGCATTTAATTAATTGCGCTTGAACAATTTTTTGAAAAATGCGCATATTGTAATATAAAAAATATGCGCTCGCAGATAAATCTTTAGACCAATTTTATTCACTGTATGGGCATCTCGTTCAATGGCTAATTTTCAATGAAGTAGCTGATAAAAAGTTTGGCATTACTAAAAAAAATAGGGTAAAAAACCAATACGGGATGTTACTTATATTCCGCAAGACGCGGTAATCATTCGAAGAAATTAATACGGTCGACACTACTTTTTTGATATTCCTTCGTTGACTAAGTTTCTCAAGGGCTACAATTTATATTTCTACTAACTTTGCGAACCTTTAAGGTTCACTCAAAATCAACTCCGAATAGCTTATGTTCGAAACGGCAAATATCCCAGCACAGTATAGTGTTTTTTCTTACACCAAATGTAGCTTTATTAGAACAAAATATTTAGCATCGGAAAAACGATAATTTTTAGTTAAATGGTGCTAATTTTAAAAACGGATTTTTTAAATTAAATGATCGTAAAGATTAGTTTCATGATAATAATCAATATAACGTTAATTTTAGAAAACACTGAAAACGCAAGTGGTGCTTAAAATTGATAGTGGTATTTTTATTTTCATATATATTCCAGCGTATGCTTGTCTTGATATAATAAAAATGTTGATATTATAGTAATAAAAAAATTCAATATAAACATACATTACATCGAAACTAAGCTAAAGGAATATTAGCTGTTAAAAATGACTGTAAAAACTATACTAATAAATTCCAAGGTATATGCAAATATTATATGTTCAAAGGGCAAGATAAAGATAAAATAACTTAAAAACAAGAAAAGAATAATTTTTTAACACAATGGCTACTAAAATAATTACTCGAAACGAATCCTGGATATACATGTAACGCAATGTCTAAAGGTAAAGTGCAATATAACAAATCCAAAGTTAAAATCTCAGCATCAAACTGTGTAGGTCAAAAGAATAACATCATTTGTTCTGGGAATAATCAAGGTCTAAGGTAATTAACTTCAAATTATACTTTTCCAACAATTAAATTTTACAAAAAATAATCTTTAATTAATATTATTAATTTAATAAGGGATTATACGATATCTTTTAACAGCATATTTCATATAGTTGGAATATTATTTGTTTTTGATGTTTTAAAAGTGACAGTATTCATAATGATAACACACACATTATGATATTGTGTAACTTGCATTTACGTTAGTTACATCATGTCACAAACTCATTACATCATGACGAACTAATATATATTCCTATATTAAGGATTTACCTCTTGAGATTAGTTGACCGGAGTACATACACACGATATGCATGTAGCAAAATGACTTTTCTTTATGATAAAAATATAAACGAACTCGATTTTTTATAGCATACATGGTGGTGTTACCGTTTCAGATGTATCACATGAGTTATTTCCATTAAAAATACCTGTAAAAACGGTTCATTTGAATTGTTCCCGCCCATTTTTACCACTGTAATTATGATCATGACAATTAGCCAGAGTTGCGCCAGATATCTAATTCCATTTTTATGGCGGTAAAACGTTTGTTACGTAATATAGACATTGATCGAACAGGAGTAGGTTTCAGCTGTGATCTAAAGTACAGGTAAAAATAGATACGGAAATACAACTTTTTGAAAATTAACCCGGCTATTTTTGTTATGGTTACACTGCAATCTAGTAGTTCATGTGCTAGCTATTGCAGACTTTACGCGGTCGATAGGTATACATGGCCATAAGTAGTGATTTTACTTAATAAAAATTCGAGTTATCGAATTGGCAGGTATTTTTTCGGCTTGGGTAACCAAGATTCTCTCATGACTTTATTTATTGTTATCCAATCTTGAATTGTAATTTTGTAATGGTATTATTTAGCTCTGGTTTTACCCAAGATGAAATCTACCCTATTCCTATTAGAATAGTGAGAAAACACGTGTAAAAAAATTGCGGTGACATGTACACGTATTAATAATTAAAAATTTAAATTTTATTTCTTTTTAAATAATTACATTATTACAATTATACATTTACCATAATCTAATACAAAACTATATACATGTACATTTACAACCATCTACTTTTTTCTGCAGTTCACTAACACGATTTTCTAAATATTGTATTATACTTCTACAGTCACAATCACAATGTTTCCAATCCTTGTTGGTATTTCTATCTTTTGGAATATATGTTTCTGGTGAGGTAGAAAAATTGCTAATGTCATTGTTAACGTTATTAAGCAAGGTTAAATTAGGTGATATTGAAGTTACATTAGTTGGATTGGAATTATGAGAAAACGAAGGTCCAACATTAGGCGAATATTGAATCATTTGTGAATTTTGATCGAAAAGTGTGCCGCTGCTCGTTGGTTGAAAAAATTCGTCTTTAGTATCCTGAAAATGATTATCCACTTGTACGCTCCGAGTTCTACATTTATCAATATATTCTTTGGCTAGTCGTTTGTAAGCATCTTTAACTTGCTGTGGCTCTTGTTTCCAAAACTCAGAAGCAATCTTAGATAATTCTGGCATTCTATATTTCTTTGTTCCCATTTTATTCTGCTTCACCATAACCATCCGATAAATGAAAAATGAATTTATACGTTTGAATGCTTGACGATTTTTATAAATATTTCTAGTATTTTTAAATAAATCATCTACTGTGATATTAAGGGGATAGGTGGGTCTTAGATGCTCATAACCTAGTGAGTTACTATCAAGTAAGATACTATCAAGCAGATTTGCTTCTTGATTAATTGTGATATTATTTGCTTGTGAATTGAAAGAGCAAAGACAAGTTAAGTTATTATCAAGTAAGGTATTATCAAGAGTATTTGCTTCTTGACTCATTGTGTTATTGTTTGCTTGTGAATTGAAAGAGCAATGACAAGTTGAGTTACTACCAAATGAAGTATTATCAAGCGTGTTTGCTTCTTGATTCATTGTGTTGTATTTTGCTTGTGAATCGAAGGAGCAAAGACAATAGAAACCATGTATACGTGCCGATACAAATTAACCATATTTATATAGTTCTTTTGTCGAGACTTTTTGAAATTGTACACACAATACGAATCTCTCCCATTGTTAATAAATATATTAAGATCAGAGTAAAAAATGAATTTACACGTACCATTTTTGATTTTTCATGGGAAAAAATTACTGAAATAGCTATCGAAACGTAGACACCTCCCTCTGCATTACCCGATTAAAAAAATTTCTATTACGAGCTTAGCGGAACCTTGTAGACATTGTAACTGCGATGGTATTTATGTAAGTCAGACGCCTCTAAATATATCTCTTCTAAATACATAAGTATCGAAACGTAAACACCTCCCGCTGCCCTACCCCCTATTGGAAATTTCTATTGCGAGCTTCTCAGCGGAATTCTGTAATCGTTGTAGCTACGTACAGACAAACGCCCCTAAATGCATCTCTTCTAAATACATAGGTATCGAAACGTAAATACCTCCCGCCGCCCTACCCCCTAATAAAAATTTCTATTACGGGCTTCTCGACGGAATCCTGTAATCATTGTAACTGCGATGATATTTATGTACAGACAGACGCTACTAAATGCATCTCTTCCTAAATACATAGGTATCGATGTAAACACCTCCCGCTGCCCTACCCCCTATTGGGAATTTCTATTACGAGCTTCTCAGCAGAATTCTGTAATCGTTGTAACTACGTACAGACAAACGCCCCTAAATGCATCTCTTCTAAATACATAGGTATCGAAACGTAAACACCTCCCATCGTCCTACCCCTATTAAAAATTTCTATCACGAGCTTCTCGGCGGAATCCTGTAATCGTTGTAACTGCGATGATATTTATGTACAGACATACTCCTCTATACCATAAGTGGTCCCGACAGTATGCATTTAGAAGAGTTTGGCTGCATTTTGGAAAATGGTGCCACACATATAATCGTATGCAACTAGAAACTACTTGTTTCAATTCCGTTTCAATTTATTTCCTAATTTGGGCAGGATCGCCTTTTTTGAAACGAACCATTTAGCCAATGCTTATTATTTTTACAATAAACATTAGCGATCTTTTCATAAGTCAATTTTTTTCTGAATAATCTTCAACTTGTTGCACTATCGTTAATGATACACTGCTCGTTGATTTCAAGAATTCCAATTAGTCGTTATACTTTTGTCCACGATAAAAATATAGATAACAACAATTACCGTATATGACCGAAAATAAGCACTCTCCGAAATAAGAAACCCCCTTTTTTTTTAATCTGAGGACCATAAAATCAAAAGTACCAAAAATAAGAAACCTTTAGTTTTTGGAAAGGAATGGTTTATTAGATTTTGTATTACATATCCACGTCAAAAAAAATAACGTCTTCATTCTCTTCTATTATATCAATTTCATAAATTTCCTCATCACTATTCTTTTGATTATTTTCTATCTCTTCATCTATCATATCTGTGTCATTCTCATCACCACAAGCATCACTTTCAATATCTACGAACTCATCAAAAATCTCCTCATCCTCCGATCCATCCAAAGCATTAGAAATGCAACACTTTCGAAATGCACGCTGAATGATCTCTGGGGTAATTTCCTTCCAGGCCGTAAGCACTTGCGTGCTTTAAATTTCCATTTGCAGTTTTTCCGGCACCCCCATCTGCCATCATGTATGCCATTGACAATGAAGAGCAACTTTGAAAGGATGATTAATCGAAATATCCAGTGGTTGACATATGGATGTAAGACCACTGACAAGGTCAATATTATTTTTTTCATTTTATTCTTAATATTGTCTGTAAGGTGCGCTTTGAAAGAATCATAAACAAGTAAAGCGGGCTCTTTATCATGGCCACCTGATTTTTTTTTTGCAAAATTCTGAATCCAAGCTATCATTCCTTCTTCATCTATCCAATTTTTTTCATGAAAGGAAATATTGACATTAGGAGGTGGTGGTGGTGTATTTTTAGTTTTAGGCCATTGCTTTCCTTTAAAGATAATAGTTGGCTGAAGTTTCTGATCATTAGTAAAACAGGTAAGAGCAACTGTAAAATGATTTTTGTCATTATCCATAGTGCGAACATGAACAACTTTCTCAACAGTAAGATCATCCGCCATATCAAACCATACTGGGGTTTCGTCCATATTTGCAATATGACTGAGCGAAAAATCTTTATTTGGCATAATCAGAATACATATTATTAAAAATTAAGTAACTTTTCTTCAAGATCTTTGGGCAATTTTTGTGATATCTTTGTTTTACGACGAATATTTAGGTCATAACAGTGTAAAAAACATTTGAGCCATTTTGAAGAAGCTTTGAATTGTTCATGATGATTTTTTTTGTGGGGTCGTTTGTGGTAGCAGTAGTTTCAGCGACAAGTTTCAACATTTCAATTTTGAGACCATAATATGTAACAGTCAAGACAGCCTCACGCATTTGAAGAAACCAAGCAAAAAGTTGGTTTTCTTCTTCGGGAAAAAACTCCTTCCTACCAGCGCCAATCCGATGAGACTTGTGATTTTTGAGATCGTCAAGCTGATTTTTTAGAGCTTTTACCCATTTGCTAACCATACTTTTTGCAATGCCAAAATGAGCCGCAGCTCTGGTATTATTGGAGACTAGAGCAAAATGAACAACAGCAGCCTTTTCCTCAACAGAATATGACTGTCTTTCTCTTTTTTTTACACACGTCATATTATTGATAGATTTGAGTCGCATTTCATGCTTCTAGTCAAAAATTGGGAATACTGAATTGCAAAATTCCAAAAACAAGAACCCCCCCTCCCTGATTTCAGTATTTAAAGACTCAATATTTGGGGTTCTTATTTTCGGTCATATACAGTTGACAGTTATCATAACATATAACGAATAATTTGGCATAACGAAATAAATATCTTGTACCAGATATTTATTCACAAACTTTGGTGTAAAGAACTCTAACTGTAGATTATAAAAGTTTTAACATATACCAATTGAAAAAATTTGAAGAATGTAATTTATAACTTAATATTTATTGTAATGAAATATGTAATTACCAGGCATTAATTATTTAATTATCCATCAACTGAATCACTGGTCGATTTCATCTTGAGTAAAATCAGGTCTAAATAATTCTAAAAAGTTACAAAATTACAATTTATCCCTTGTTTTTGCCCAATAGCAAAAAATATGGGCTAAATTTTTCTATCTATATTTTAGATAAGATTGCTAACGGACAGGGACCTGTAAAATTTTTAAAAATAAATCGAAATTTCGTAATAACGGAGAGTTTATTATAGTCACATGACTTAAGCTTGCATTATAGATTAATTCTTTAATGCTGGCTATTTAAAGTTACTTGATTTGGTTTAATCATGGCTTGATTTTTAATGTTGGCCAAAATTATTTAGTGCTCTAATTTTAGAGCATGTTTTTTGACATGCGCTAGGTAATGTTGGCCGAAGCTATGACATAATTTATCAAAATTTTGCATGTTTGGCCTGAACTATGGCTTAATTTCTTAATGTTAGCCAAAATTATGTCAAGTTAATCGAAATAAATTTTCAAAATTACCTAACGGAGAACAATAACTTCACGTGAAAATCTAGCTAACGATTTGTTTTTTGTTGTCAGAACTCCCTAAATGCAACTTGCTCGGATCAACTTTTTGACAGAACAATAAGAAAAATTGCATTTATCGAGGTTAAGTATATATTTTGAGCTTGCATTAAGAGAGATATTATATTTAGGGAGGTCTGGCTGTAAATCGAGTTTTTATTAAACAAATCCATGCTGAGTGACTAAGAAAAAATGCTCAGCATGCAATTTGTGTCAATTTTATATACTCATTGATCGTGTATACCTATCGACCGCGTAAAGTCTACAAAAGCTAGCACATTTACATGTACTATTCGATTCCAAATTGCAGTGTAACTATAACAAGACTACCCAAATATTTCATCGTAGTTTGAACCTGATATCTGAGTTTATCTTATCAAAATCCAATGCTAAAATATGGGTTAATTTTTCAAAAAGTTGTATTTTCATACCTATATTTTGCCCATACTTTAAACCACAGGTGAGACCTACACCTGTTCGACCATTGAATAATCCTGTATTCCAAATGATAGGATTGAATTGAATTAGCTGTTTAAATGAATAAACTATCAAACCAAATATATTATCAAGTTTTATAACAATTAATCAACACTCTTCAAAGGTAGATATAATAATACAAGCAACATTTTTCTAATCCCTTTACTTAATTTAATGGCTAACATTAGATTTAGTTGGTGATATTGCCAGATTTTCCTTAAAAATGTGATATTTATTGAGAATAACATTCAAGGATACAGTGCGTTTAATTGTAAGATTTTTCACAAATTATAACTTTCTTTCCCATAGTATAATGTAATTTCAATGAGTTAAAAGATGCGTTATTAATTTTTTTGCTTTTTTAGACTTTGAAGTCGTCAACTATTAAGTGTGTAGCTATATCATAAAATAATCAATGATAATGACGATGATGATTCCAAGCTGCTTATCAGAACAATATTAATAAACTTGACAACGTTCTAATTATATAAAATTCGTTAAAAATTGAAACTATTGCTGTATGGCACTGCTTACTTAAAGAATCCTTCCCATGTAAAAACTTTACATTCAATTTAACCCTCAAAGCCATTCTTTTAATAAGAAAATTTTTAAAGGTATTACATCGTGAATTCTGTATTCAGAAATAATAAATTTTTTATTAAAAAGTTATATTAAATTAAGTTTAAATTTTTACAATGAGAGCATTTATGCGTTCCAATTATATGTATAAATGTCAATTTCAATTAAACCTTTGATGCATTAAACAGAAGCTAATCATTTATTAACTTATGAATGCTTTAATTTCTATAATACATGATTTATTTTATAAATAAATACTTTATAATATGATTATTTAATTTAAATTCAAATTCTTTTTGCTAAATTGAATTTAAATCTCGGCAGCAGGAAAAGGTTACACGTTATCTTCGTTAAACCGAACATGATAAATTAAACTTTTTTTTCGGAAGATCAGATTTGACGGAAATAACGATTAATCAAATAGTTTTCCGGAATATTGATTTGATTTAGACCATTTTCAGTTTAACAAGAGTGAAGGTTTCTTTATTTCCTAAAAGACATTTTAGCAGACAATATTAGTATTACGGGCAAAATGGCAGAACATTGGACCACTGTTAGCAATGGAAAAAAGATTTTCTACGAAAACTTTTTGATATTTATTGTGCACAATAGAGAATCAAATTTTTATGCAATATTTTCCTATTATAAACAAAGCATAATAAGCCTGTGATAAATTTAAAAGTTAGATTGATAATACATTTCAAATTACATGTACCTCAGACTAGCTAATCTGTAACAGTTTTATTTTATATTCAAACTTAGATTAAAAAATTAAATTGTAAATAATTTCTAAATTAATCTTAAATAAACATTATAAAAAAGATATGTATATATATTTTTTCAACCATGTTTCAAATTAATTTAATAAATTATTTCTAAAATAAACATTATAAAAAAGATATGTATATTTTTTCAATCATGTTTCAAATTAATTTTTTTTAGATATAAAAATAATTTAAGAATAATATTAATAAGATTTTACTAAGTAACTCTAAAATAAAACTGTTTTTAAATATCAAAGAACATAAATAAAAGCATAATTCTGTATCCTTGCAAATTTTTTTGATTTGTCTTTAAATAATGATGTGATGTGAAGCAATTAATTTTATTTTAATTTATTAATTTTTAAGCACGTAAATTTCTGTTTATAATACATTTTCATAATAATAAAAGACGATATAATGAGTAATCGATATAAAGATTGTTCATGTAGTTATAAATGACATTTTTGATGCCTCAATTAATTAGACAATATATGATAGCGATAGGCACAGATAACTATATATGTATATCGATATGTTTCTGTTTATACATAGCGATAAGCAATAATAACATAGTTATTAGTAATAAAATTGTGACAAAACATATTTAATCTCTTTTAGCGAATTAATATAATTATTAGTTTCGAATTTTATATTCTGTCAAGTATTTATGCGTAAAAAAGTGAAAAGTTTTGCAATTAATATTTTATGCAGTGTTATTAAGCAAACGTAATATTGATTAATCCATCTTATTGTACATGTAATGATCTAGATGTTTGAAAGCAAGGTAGGTAGCAAATGTACTAGAAATCTCTTCGTAGGGGAGTAATCAATCAAAAATCGTAAGAATTCAAATAAAGTGCTTATTTTGAAAAGAAGGTTCTATCTCGAAATATTACCTATGAACTGGTTTCTTACAAAAATGTTTCTTGCGAAATTTTACCTATGAACTATTTATTAACCGAAATGTTAAGAATCGGATGGTTGGGAGTTGAGTCGGAATCATGTGTTCCAAACATTATTTTCGCCATGCTAGGGTATCCTATCGATTGAGTAACAATTCGATATTCATGTAATCCCTTCCCAATTGCGTTACTATAACGGATAACAGTATTTTGAATTTCGAATGTACATGTAGTATGCATTATTCTTAGCCGATGGCAAATTCATTATACGTGTAGCTGGATGGTATAACAATTTCGACTTTCATTATTCATGTATATGCAAATAAATTCTTTTAATCGTACCGAATACATACAGTACTTGCTAATAAAATGTGTATGCTTCCTGTTATATTACTTCGTACGTTTAACCAAAAAGAGTTGTAATTCTATTTCTGCATTTAAAAAGCTAATGTACTCAATGAGATTATTAATAATAAATAATAAATAATACATATATTTCATTTACTTTTCGAATTAAAGTTTCATCATGTGAATTATAAACTTTTTAAAAATTCTAATACAAAATGATAAGTTATTGATAAATTTATTATTTTAATTTTGGAGATAAAAATGATTTATTATTAATTCAATTTATATTATTAATTTAGCAATTATTGTTTGATAAGATTGTTATTTATAATGTAAAATGCACATAAAATTCCAGCTTTTCTAATTTTATATATTAGTTTCGAATACAATCTTAAATAAAGTTTTTGCAATGGTTTACATAACTTACATAAATCTTGATCATTGTTCAATAGAGATATGATTTATACTAACTTGATGTAATTCTTTACATAATTTGGTATGAAAGATATAAATAACGCGTTGATTTTAAATACAAAGAATGTATCGCCATTTTGAATAAACATAGAAACCTAATAAATACAGAAAAACGCATCCCTTTGAACTATAGTGTGCATTTAGGGAAGGTGTGCACTTAACGGAAAACAAACTTCATAACACTCCTATAAGGTGGGACCAAGCCATGCCGTGCATTAAAAGAGAATTTATTTAGTGCGTGTATTGCGCAAAAAAAAAAAGATAATAATAATGATACATATATATGTAAATGTACTACCGGAAATTTATGAAATTATTCGGAAAGAACTTGATTGTGATAATTATTGGTACATATAAAAGGGAATTATGATTGTCAGTATTTACACACATTCATATACATAAGATAAAGGAAAATCTTTTCTCCTGTAAATCACTCAAACCAAAACATTCTAGTAAAGCAGCAGCCCGGATGTATATCGATATCAATCCAAATATATAATGCCAATGTTTCTAATTTTCGCTCTATTTGCAGTTCACGAGTTACGGGCCGTGCTAAACCAGGAATACAAGTAAAAGACCTGATTCAATTACATGTAAATACTTTGTGAGACATTTTAGACAAATAATTTTTCAAAGATCAAATGGAGTTGTTTGAATTTTTTGCCTGAATATTGAGGTCATTAGGGACATGTAGCCATAATAAACTTTACTGCTTCTAGAGTATCACACATACACAATTACAATCATCGAACCAATGAAAACTTTTGTAATATAAATAATTAGTTTTTTGTTGAGAAAAATCGCTGGGAAATAAAATATTAGAAAATTTCATGATCTATACAGAGACTTATATACAGTCAACTCTCTTTTATAAAATGTGTGACATAACGAACTCAAAATAAAAACATAGGGTGTTCTAATAGAAAATATAGTAACTTTATATAACGAACTTTATTTTTAACAGAACCACCAGTAAGAGTTGACATCTCAGCTAAATAATAGATTGATCAGATCAGATCAGAATAGCCGTTATAATAAATACTCATGTAAAACTGGTTTTTAGGATTCCAATACATGACTTATATAAACGAGGTTATATTCTCCCTGGATTATCCCTATTCGGCCATCGTACGCAGCCATTATCTTCCTTTATTATAAAAGGCAAAAAATAAATACATACTGTATATATATTTTTACCTAATATTTCCTTTTTTGTGTAATCCCTTATTATCATTGTTAAATTGCTAATTTTGAAAAAGAAATATACATATGAGTTCTACAAATTTCGGCAATTGCCAACACGCTTATAAATTTGTGTTTTTGTGGGCTATGGAAAAGAGCAACGTCCGCATTTTAACAGGAAGGAATCATTCAAGTTTTTGTTCATGACATACTTCCTTGCCATTTTCGCTTATCTTTATTCGAAAAGATTGTTTTTCAGAAAATACTAACACACTCATTTTAAACAATAAACCATATATCAATCACCTCTTTATATCGCAAACATTTACATAACATAAATACGTCGTATAAAATGCCGAAATACCCACAGATACATTTCCAATTTAGTTCTCCGCTTCCCATGGTAAAACCACAATACCCTCCTAATTTAACGGTCGAAGATTTAATGCAAAATGCACTGCAAAAGCTTAAAAAAACTGGTAAATTTTCGAAAATCCCTAATGCCTTTATGGCTTACAGAATGCAACTACAAAAAGAATTTGCATTACACTATTCATATCCTGGCATGCGTAAACTATCTTCCATTGCTGCGAATTTATGGAAAGAAGAAGATGAGAACGTAAAGAAGACATATCAAAATCTTACACGTGAAGCACAAACTCGATTTGAAAAGATAGCAAATGAAGCTTTTCCGTTACAATTCGTACAATTTATCAATCCGAATGAGATTATGAGCTCTCTTGAAGAGGATAAATTGAGCATAGAAGAAGAGAGAAATCCTTTGGAAATACTACAATATAACGATCAAAACGGTGACATTTTTGATACTACCGATTCTACTGGCACTTCTGTTAATGTGGCAGGAAATAATATCGAATCTGAACGTCCAATCAATACCTCATCATCAATTCGGTACAACGAAACTGAGTCGCAACATATGGAGAAAACAGTAATTGATATAAATATATTGTACTCGGGGGATACTATATCTGTTAACTGTCCTCAGAGCATCCCTCTCGATTATGAAATTAATAACTTAGATTATTATGTCAATACATCAAGTATCCAGGTCATAAGTTACGAAGAGGAAACACCAATACCATTGAATTCAGTTAGCAACAACAAATGCGAAAATATTCGAAATCGGATTACTCAGCTTGAAAATAACATAGCATATTCTAGTGATATAAAATTTATTAACGATCATTCCGCGAGTCTTGAGGATCGAGTGACTAACTTAGAAAAATGTGTAAAAATGTTATTTGAAAAAAAGCACCAAGAACAACACCTATTATGATAAATAACTCGTGAATATTTACAAATTTTAAAACTAAGAGCTTCATAAAAAAATAAGAAAACGGCCGAAAATTTTTGTTAAAAAAAATCCTTTAAGTATTTTTCCTATAAATTTTTTTAAATTGTTTAAAGCATAATTAACTCAAAAAAGTTCAAAATTAAGAATTTACCTGTCACATTTAATTTAAAATTATTCCTCTCATATTTATCTTTTAAATGATGCAAGAATCATATCTAATCGTAATTGTTTTGAATTTTTAAGCATTTTAGTATATAGAGCGTGGGAAAAAATTTTAATATAAATCGTGGAAAAATTTTTCTTTACTTTACAATCAAAACGGTCTGTTTAGTATAAATGATTGGTATTTAACTTTTCATGTGATCTATATTCTGAAATGGTCTAAATCCTGACTTGGTCCAGAACATGTACATGTACATGTATATACGATTATTCCGGCCAAAATATTTGATACATCTTTGTTTTGCTCAACTAATGAATTTACAAACTTGGAAATAAATAAACATAAGGTCTAAATTTACATACCTATATTTGGAATTAGTACAACAAACATACATGTAAATGTTAAAATAAATATCGGTTGCTCGATATAATATAAATTATAATATGAAATATAAGAAATATAAGATTTCCGGTATATAATAATGAAATATTTACTTGTTATTCTTGGCTCAATATAATAACATAATCTCTTCCCCCGAGCACGTTATAGTATCGAGCGCTCATTGTAGAGGGTGATAATACGCATCACTTAATCAACTTATCACTAAATTGCAATATAAGAAAGATTAATTTCAAACAAGCTCATTATCCACAATTTCTCAAGAAAAATTATTATTATATTTTTCAATTAATTTAGATAATGCTTATTTAATAATGCTTATTCATAATTTATTACTTTTTGATTCAATCTAAAAATAGTGCTATTTTCAGATAATATTTATTTCTGAAAACATATGGCATATATAATTCATATAATAATTAAAACTTCTTGTAAGCCAACTCATGAAAAGCTTTAACTATTACACAAAATTTTATTTATAAAATAAGATATCTTTAAAAATTAATATACAATTGATTTGCTTTATACTAAGATAAATTTAAATATACAGTACTTTAATATTAAAAATACTATAAAATTATTAATTTTAATTTGTCATAATTTATATTTTATAAATAATATATATTAAGTTAAATATTTTTCTTAATAAACAAAACTTATTGATTTAATAAAACCTTGCATAATAAATCAAATTAATAATTCTTTATAATTAATATTATATTATAATTATTATTAATATTTAATTCAAATTGAAATATATAACTATTAATTTTATAATTATATAAAAGATAACTATAAAAAATTTTTAATATTATTCTTATATAATATATTTAATATTTTTATTTTAATATGTCAAAATATTTCAATCAATTTATTTATATTATTAGTAAGATTATTTATTTATTATTGTAAATAAAATAAAATATAAATTGATTAATTTTAATTTATAAATAACTTATTATTTTATAATTTAAATAATAATTAAATCTAAGATTTAAAATACAGAATGAAGTGATATATTTATATAAATAAAAAAGAATATAAAATATAAATAAATTAATAATCTAAAATATATATTAATTTCATATAATTAATTTTAATAATTATCTTAGATTACATCTTTAAAGAGTAATATTATACTTAATTTAATAATTATAAATAAAATAAATAATAATATAAATAATATATAAATAATATTAATTAAAAAATAATTAAAAAAAATAAAAGAATATTAAAAAAATTACTAATTATCTAAATTAATAATTATAAAATATATTATAATTATTAATATAATAATATTCATTAATTTAATATATAATAATTATCTATATATTCAATATAAAATTAAACTTTAAAAAAAGTAATATAAATTTATAAATATAATATAAAGAATATAAAATAAAAATTTAATTTAAAATAATTTTTTAAATAATTTTTAAATAGTATTATAAAAATAAGAATCTAGTTATTTGATATAATATTAATAAACTTAATATTTTTAATTCATAAATTATTACTATAATATTATATTATATATAACTTACTATATTATAATTATTTTTACTTTTATCAAGATAAGTTATATAATAACTTGAATTATTTTAGTTATAAAAATATTCTTAATAAAATTTCTTTTTATTTTTATTCTATTAATATAACTAGATATATTACTTTTTTTTATATAGTTAGTATAAAAAGTAATAGTAAACATGTTTTTCACCTATAATTTAATAAGAAATTGCTAAAAATTTATAAAAATTTGATATTATATTCTATAAAATGATAAAAATAAAATTTTTTTAAGATTATAAAGCATATTAATATAATAATATTTTGTAAAATCATATGCTAAAAATGATGAACTAGAAATTATTCTGATTAAAATGCTATAAAAAATTATTTAAAATATTTTTATAAGCAAGTATGAAAATTATTTTATAAAAATATATTTAAAGATATAAAAAATATATTATAATTTAAAAAATTTTTAGTTAATATTTATTAAATAAATATCAATAAAAAAAACTTAATTTTGATAAATTTTATTGTATTTTATTATGAAATTTATCAAAATTAAGTCTTTATTTGACTGATATTTATTCAATAAATATCAACTAAAAATTTTTTTAAATAATAAATATATTTTTTAAATCTTTAAATATATTTTTATAAAATAATTTTCATATTTACTTATAAAAAATATTTTTAAATAATTTTTTATAGTACTTTAATCAGAATAATTTTCCAGTTCATTATCTTTAACATATAATTTCACAAAAGATTACTATATTAATATATTTTATAATCTTAAAAAATTTTATTTTCATTATCTTAAAAAATATAATATCAAATTTTCATAAATTTTTGATAATTTCTTATTAAGTTATAAATAAAAAACTTGTCTACTATTACTTTTTATACTAACTATATTTTTTATTTATAATTATTTATTATTATATTTATATATAAGTATATTTTAAAAATATTATTATATAAATAATTATATATTATTAATTATTATTTATTTATATAGTCATAATTTATTTATTTAAAAATATTATTTTTATTTTATATTTTAAAAAAATATATAATTATAATAAAATTTTAAGTTTTAATTATAATAATTTATTAATTTTAATTTAACTTTCTATATAAATTTCTTATTAATTTTCTTGCTATTATTTTAATTATCTATATAAATAACTTAATAATTTATATTATATAATAGAGATTATAATTTTGATAATAATAAAATAAACTAAAATTCTATATTTATATTTATATATATTTTTTATATATAAATTTATTACTTTTTATATATATAATATACTCAAATATATATTGTTACGGCAAATCAGTAAGTGGGTTTTCACTTTGATTCACCCTAACGATATAGAGTTAGGAGAGACTGAAATAATAAAAGATAAAGAGAGGGGAATTAGACTATAGCTTTCAATAATGACAAAGGTTTCTAAGGTCTGTGCCAATATCTACGGATATTATCTCAATAAAGGGGAAATAAATAAAGAAAGAATAAAATAAATCAAAGAAATTATAAAGATTGACTAAGTGAAGCCACTAGTAATTGATATA